TTACTGACATAAATGAACATTTGCACGATATTCTAATTTTTCAAGTTTCACCTGTATATAGGCATACTGCTTGCCAATAAAAAAACCCCTTCATTTTTGAGGGAGTTTTCAGCCTGAATTTCTTGGAAAAAAAAGAATACTGCTACTGTGATAAACACTGCAGTTACCATTACTAGTATCTGAAAAGTGAAAATGTATAACTGAAAACATAACAAATACTGTGGCAGTAATTTTACCTTGAACCTTACTGCCATTTCCCTTCATTTGAATTGAATTCGAGTGTAAACCTCCGTGGTTCCTGCCACTTTTAAAAAAAGTAAGTGGTTCTTCAGAACCGATCCATACAGGCATATTTTTGTTATGAGTACATATATTGTGATTACAATTCTTTCAGGCTTTCTTTCCTATCTCATTTGTTAAATATTATATAATGCTTTCCAACTGAACTTTGCATTGCCCTATTTGGGAATGGTCCCCTTCGAGCTGACCAATTCTCTCCATTTTCCCACAACAACCCTGTGAGGTGGGTTGGGCTGAGAGTGCGCGACTGGCCCAAAGTCTCCCAGCCGGCTTTCATGCCTAGAACTCACACCTTAAGACCAGCACCTTAGCCGCTACACCAAGCTGGCTCCAAACTGAGATGCTGAAGCGACAATGATATTTATAAAGCAACTTCTCCTTTAAGAAGAGTTAATCCAAGACCTATCCAGCGAACGTAAGTCAGCTCTGTAACACTACAGAGCTATGGTCTGCAAAACAATCTGATAACTTTTAACATCGCTATTTATCGTAGATTTAGGAATTATCCTATTTATCTCTTCAGATTCTAATCAGACCCTTCGACCAAGCGACCGCAGCTACGTTCGTAAATCCCTCGCTTCCACTCCCACGGGGCGTATCCCTCCCCCCCCGCCGCTTCGTAGCGCGCATCATTTTATGAGGGCGTTCTAAGATTGACAAGCCCCGAGCCGCAACTATTGCCACAATTCTATCCCCGCCCACAGAACGAGGCGGGGCTTCGGCGCCACGAGGGGAGAAGGACTTTTTAGTCCTGCCGTTTCCACAGCGACGCGGCCGGGCAGGAGGGCAGCCTGCGCATGGCGGAATGGCAGCTGCTTCGAGTGCTGCGCGGCGGGTCTGGGACTCGCTCCCTCCCTCGGGCAGCGCGGGGGCTGCAGCGCCCGCCCAGTGGCTTGGCCAGCCTGAGCAACCTGGAGCGCCTGAGCTTGCGGGACAACCGACTGTTCAGTCTCTCCCACGAAATGGCGGCCCTGAGCCGGGTGAGGCGGCCCTGAGATCCCGGCGTGGAGCCCCTCCGGTTGCTTTTTGAGTTCGTTCCGCCGCGCTCTCTCTCGGGCAGGGAGGTTGGTGTGCAGTCGTTGAGACGCCGTGGCCCTGCGTCGCCCCCGTGCCTTTGGGCTCCGGCCTGCGAAGCCTCTCAGCAGGAAGACGCCATCAACTACAGTATTGTTCAAGACACAGCTCAGTCAGTCAGGGCAGATGGCGGTCCTAATCAGTCTCTCTCGCACCTTTCATCCCTAGGAGATTTAAAGGGGGGCTAGATCAGCGGGTCCGGGAGCAGGCGATCAAGAGTAGTCGTGGTAACAGTTCAGTACCTGCGGCATCAAAGGCCAATTTTTCTCTAGGGCGGTGTTTCTCAACCTCGGCAACGTTAAGAGGCGTGGACTTCAACTCCCAGAGTTCCCCAGAGAGCCTGGGGAATTCTGGGAGTTGAAGTCCACGCCTCTTAACGTTGCCGAAGTTGAGAAACACCGCCCTAGGGGTTTATAGCATCATCCAGCCATTGCTACAGCAATATAAAACCTGTCCTAATTAGTGATATATTGCCTTGGAAGTGGCTGGATGACCCCGTAAATCTCTACTGTAGAAATGGCCGTGTACTTTAAATGTCAGTTGCTAGAGAGCAGGGTTATCACTCACTTGCCCTGATTGTAGGCTTTCTTGAGTGCCCCTGGTTGGCCTCTGTTACACAGAATTCTGGCCTAGATGGGCTGTGCCTGATCCAGCAAGACTCTTCTTGCATTGTTAGGGAATGATCACCTGGAACAATCATCATTCTTCCATACTCTAGAATCTCTGATGTTGCAAGGAAAGAACAGGGGGAACCATTCAGTGCCATTCTTAGAATGTTTTTTAAAGTCTGTATTAAGTATTACATTTAAACTATTATTAACCTGCTGTTATAACAAATTTGTTTAATAATTTCAATCAGTAATCTCAGCTATGATCAAAATACTGCTGTATTTTGGATGAATATCTTTTCTAATCCCAGACAACATTGTAGGGAACACTGTTAAAAGTCTTCATTGAAAGAGAATTAGTATAGTTTGTAAATTAGTTTAGTAAAATTAGTTTCCTTGTGTGGTGGTTTCTTAAAGAGGGAGGATGTGACTGCTGCTAAGACATGAATATTTAACCTCTGAAGTGGAATGAAAACGCCTTTTAAAATAAGGAATGTTTCTTCTTTTTTAAAAATAGATATGGGTTTTAGGTCTTTTGAACAACATTTTTGGAACAGTTGAGAACTACAGAGTACTATTTTTCACCATTTTGCTGCAAGGCATTTTTTCTTTGTGATAAAATGTATGTTATTCAGTGAGAGAATAAATACACTGCAATTGTAATAATTTAAACCCAGGGCAGAATCAGCATTTGATCATTGTTAAAGTTTCAGTTTAACCATCTCTAAATAAGGGCTACTTATTGGGAGTGCAAAACTCTAAATGTCCTCTAGATGGCAGCATAGGGCCACCAATTGTCTTTGATCAGTTCATTAAACTTTTTCATGTGAAACTCATAAGTTGCTTTCGCTGGTCATTTACTTCATTCTTGATCACACAAACCAGCTGTTCCTGGTTCACCATCTTTACATTTTTTGGTCCAGCGATGTTCAGAACTCACATCAACAGAGTCATCACTAGAAACAACTTGCATTCAGTGATGAATTTCAGTTGGAGGGACTCCTTCACCAGTCAAAAATTCAAGAACAGTAGTACTTTGCTTAAAGTGCACTGATGAGTACATAGGCTTCCATTTTGTGAACAATAGCAACACCATATTTTCTCATAGCAACTTCTTGCCCACTGATGTGACGGAATAGATGCTAAAGAACATGTTAGACCTGGTGCAGCAGTACTGCCACCTGTTGATTTATAACACTGGAGGCATTACTTTTCATTCAACCTTTGTACTTATTACTGAGTAGGTTTGTGCAGACAAACAGTGTAAATCTGCATTATGTATGCCACCTTGTGCTTCTATACAAAAAAGTGGAATATCAAATAGATACTGTACATGCCAAGCTTTTATTTTAAATCCATTGTAAAGGGGTTGCTATGGAACTTTTTATGACAAATTGAAACTTGACAATAGTATAATTCAGCTTGGGTCTAATAAGCACTTTGTAAAATATTGTTTTAAAAAGTTTCTGGTAAAAATCATATCAAAATAATTTCACAGAGTCCCAGGATTGTGGCAAAAAAATTGTTATTTTTCCACTACCATAAATTATATTTCATCCTGAAAGTAGTGTTACTGAAAATGCTGGCTATAATTATTTTGAGTAGCCTTTTGCCAGTGTTTCTCAGATTGTGTGCCTCCCTAGTGTGTCCTTTTTTGGATTTAAATATAGAAGCATATGGTTCTTGGTTCTCTTTCCTAACTCATTTTTTTGGGGGGGAGGGGAACCCATACCTTATCATTCCAACATTAACAGAACTTGAGAAACACATTTATGTTAAAATTTAGATTTTATTTTTTTTAAAAGTTTTTAAAAATCCTGATGGCCATGGATGAGCAGTAATCACACTGAAGTAGGTTCAGTCTCTGAGCTATCCACAGATGGGCACAGCCCATGTAATTGAAAACATAGCTTGTCAAAGGCAGAGAATGTTCTGCAGACTGTGTGCAGTGAAATAGTTATATGTCGGTACTGCACAAATCTTCGAGTAAGTGTTCAACCAAGTTTCAAGTGAAGTACTCCCTCAAAGTTGCTTTGCAAAGGAAGCCACCTACTTCTAAGAGTAGTGGTTGCACAGGAACCTCTCCTAGATTTGGCAAGTGACAGACAGAAATTAGGGAGAAGCTTTGAGGCAATGCAGGATAGTTTGTAAAAGCATATTACATTGCCTCTGCTTTAACAAAGAAAAATCACATTGCCTTTCCAACACAAAACTCTTCACTGAACCAAGTCTAGGCCTTCTTGCATAGTCCTACTACAGAAAGGCAGATATCTTAGGGTCACATACTGCATTAGTGTGATTCATTTGCTATCATGATTTGCAGATCATAGCTTATAGATTAGTTTGTTGTGTGAGCTAGCTAATTGTTGTTTATTAACAAACTTTGACCTAGGGCAATATGTCAACCCTGTCAGTGTTACCTGACAGAAAATTTCATTGTACCAAACTTGATATATAATTCATCCCTACTTTGAGCTCCTGAATGAAAGGAAGGGTATAACTTTAATAAAGTCATAAGTATCATTCCAAGGGATTTGCATGCCATTCCATTCTATACAAAATCTTTTTGTGACAATTCCATGCCACTTAGGTATCCTGCTGTAATTATATAGGATTTTGTTTGTTGTAATCTATTACTTAATTTCAGACTAAATGACAATGTCCAATGTTGTTTTAAAAGATAGCATTTCTGTTGCATGCTTGTATCACAGTATAGTTTCAGCTGTAACAGTAGTTCACAATTAAGTAGTACTAATGATACACGAATGTCTTTCTTTTTCAACCTTAGAGGAGAAATGATCAGCATTCTTTAATCAAATATCTGATTGTAGTTGAAGGTACTAAATTTGGGAAATAATAATTTTGAGGAAGTTCCAGAGCAATTGAAATATCTCATATCTCTGCAAAAGCTTCATTTATTTGGAAACAAGATCACCAAAATATCACCCTTAATATTTGGTAAGGGCGTATCATGTTATGTTCAAAGTCAGATACTGTGCTGTACAACATATATACTACTACATATGTGCTATACTATTTACTCAACGACAAATCTATATAATGAAATCACTCCCCCACCCCACTATAGTGAAATCACTTTTAATTTACGTGCCCATTCAAGTGCATTATAATCACTTCTGTTGTATAAATTAGCATATGAATGAAATGAATAGTTTTAAAAGAAAGATATTTGGTTGTCAATGATGCACATGTTTTAGCAGATGCCATCTTTGAAAAAAATCTCTTGTGAGAGAAGAGGAATGTCTTCCCTAAAATAATGCTTGCTTTTGGGGATTTTAAAGAGTCTTTTTTGAGAGAAGAAAGTAAAAAAGGTAGCGAGCAAAGTCATC